CAGCCGGGGCAGCCCCTCGCTCTCCCTTACAAAGAGCTCGCTGCCTTGGCCAAGTCCAGGGTTACATGTAGCAGTCAGTGCTGGGCAGCAGCGTCAGTGCTGGGCACAACCCTGCCCTGGAGACCTCCGACAGGTTTGCAAGTCCTGCTGCTTCCAGACAAAGTCCATGGCGGAAGGTGAAAACCACAAATAAACCAAAATCCCTTCCCTCTTCTCTAAACGTACTCAGTGCTTCTAAGAAAGGGACGCAGGCAGGCTCTCAGCTGCTGTCCCATGACATTAAAGTGCTTCAGACAAAACAGGGTGGATGGAGGTGTGCTGCTGAGGGTGGTAGCAGGAGGGCTTGGCTTGGGGCTGGGGACAGGCAAGACCAAAGCAGATCAGCATCTGGCAGCCCCATGGGCTTGCAGAGACAGAGAGCGAGCAGGAGAGAGCTGCTCCCCTGGGGAAAACAAGCAGAAACAAGACCGGAGGAGGCAAAAACTGCAGGGGAGCGAGTGGGGACCTGAACCCCTTTTCCTGGGCTAGACCTGGCTTTGCCAGGGTGCTGCAGAGCAGGGGAGAGGTGCTGCTGTGCAGCAGCCCGGTCCCCAGCAGCAAGGCTTGCAGCCACCCTCCCCAGCCAAGCCCTGCTGCCACCTCGCTTGGTCCCAGCCGCAACCCCGCACAGGGACAGCCCATGAGCAGTCACAACCCGGCCTCAAGCCAGGGCACGCGCCCCGAGAACTGTTGCCCCTAGATGCCTTCTGCCAGTGTATTGCTCCCCCAGTCCCTCAATACCCTTCTCGCACATACGCAAGCCACACCATCCTTCCAAACACCCCACTGCCACCCGCCATCCCACCCATGCTAAGATGGTGCTGGATGCCCACCTGTGCCATGGGCTAAAGCATCCCATTGCAATGCAGAGGCACCTCCTCAACTGACCTGTAGCCCCAGAGCACAGAGCTCACCCTGCGCGGCAGGGTCTGACCCCACGGAGCTGTCAGTTGTGGCAGGCAGCTCTGCATCAGCGAGGGACCAACCCTGTGCAGCACCCCTCTCCCCTGTGCACCCCCCGTTGCGAATAGGCTGTCCGGCCGCCCTGCTGCACCGCCGCTGGGAAGCCTGGAGGCTCTGCCTAGCTCAGAGACCCCTCTCCCAAGAGGAGCAGGAGACCTGCTGGGAAAAGGGGACACCTGGCAAACGCCAGCCCCATCCAGGGGTGAGGAACCAGGAGCAGGACAGCCCTGGAGGTTTTATACCAGTGAGTCCCAAGCAGATCGCAGGCCCCCTAAAGAGGCATTTCAAGCAGCACCTCCGTGAGAGGGAGAACACACAGTTAAAAACACGAACAACCGCATTAAAAAAATAAAACCAAATCCAGCAGATTAGAAAACAAAAACCAACCTAAAAGAAGAAACTGAGACAGAGGCTGAGGGGATGCGGCCAGAGGTGCTGAGCCTTCACCCGCATCCCAACAGGTCTCGGGCAGAAGGCAGCTGCATGCAAAGCAGGTCCTGGTGCTGTGCCAGGGTGAGGTCCCATGTCACCCTCAGAGGAGGATATGTGCTCCCAGGAGGACAGACCGGCAGCATGAGAAGGAAGCAGGGCTGGATCCACGTGGATCTGCCAAAAGCCTGGCAGGACTGGTCCTCTTGTGCGGCTGCTCCGCGGGCAATGCCCCTCTGCAGCACGGGCTGCGGGCAGAGGGAACGAAAGCAGCTCAGCACAGACGGCACGGTGAGGCGAGGCAGAAACCTGGCATTTGCATCACTGCCACCTCCTCCACTCTGATCCTGGAGTGAGAGCAACCGCTCTCCAGCAGTGTCCAAGCCAGATTTGAGAAAGGGAGCTGTTAAATGTACAACCTACCCTAAACCCCGACCCTCCCTCAATGCACACACCCCTCTGGCACCCAGACAGGGGATCAGAAGACTCAGAGCGCTGATTCCCCTCTCCAAGGAGCAGAAGTGGACTGAGCTTCCTAGTATCCAGCTGATGAGCAGAAAGTGCTGACCCTGCTGGGGAGCAGGGCACGGGGACTGGCAGCACAGCCCTGCCTGATCCAGCGTAAACAACTGCTCAGAAAAGGCCGCTGTTCTGCCTGCAGGACAGGCAGGAGCAGCCGCCTTTCCCCAAGCAAAGGCATCGGGGAGTGAGAGTGGTACCTGGAGCAGACCCAGACGATGGAAGATGCCCCTTCCCCAGCCCAGCACTGCTGCACGGAGGAAAACAGATCCCCCTGAGACAGCACTCCAAGCCTCCTGACGGTCCTCCTCATCTCCAGTCCGCGTGGCTCAGTCTCTGGTGATGAAGGCCACATGTGTAAATAAACCCACGATCTGCTCCTCTGCTGCAACATGCTCATGTGGCTGCCACTGCCTCCGGCTGCTCCAGCTCGTCTTCGTAGTCTGAGACGTAGGACTCCATGCTCTGCTTGGCCAGCAGCTCTCTCCGGGCTTGAAGCCGCTTGCAGCGGGGACAGCGGGTGGATTTGAAGCAGGATTTGTGGTAGCAGGCTTTGCACTCTACAGGGGAAAGGGGGAGAGCAAGGCTGAGAGCTGGCAGAGACTGGCACAGACTGCCCGATGCTCCACACCCCAGGGAGGGATGCTCCAGGCTCGTCCAGGAGCACATTTCAAACCAAAGCTGTGGCAGAACAAGCACCAGAAGCATGGGTACAGCACCGTTCTGGAAGCAGCAGGAAGTCACGCTGCAGTGTCCCTGCATCAGCTTGCAAAGCCTTTGGGAGCACAGGCAGGACGTTTCCTGCTTTGCACAAGGTCCCTCCTCAAACCTTCCCGATTCTCCAAGGAAACAGTGACTGCCCCAAGTCTCCTCTGGCACTGTGCCTGCCAAACCAATGTTTGCATGTTGTCAGGAGCCATTTCAGCCAGTTCAGAGGTTGGTCCCAAGCTGCAGGGACAAGCTCTGCTTGGCCATTAGTGCTGGGCACTATCGAGGACGACTCCTCAATGGGCCCGGGGATTTCTTGGCAGGCAGGAAGGGCACAGAGACAAAGCCTTCAGGCTTTCTCTGCTCTACCTCTCAAGATCAGCTCCAGCCATCCAAGCTGGGAAGGGAAGCTGCATGCAGCCTGCAGCCTGTCCTGTAACCACAGCAGAAGGGAAGCCAGGGCTCCCAGACTGCCCGCTGCCGCCGGGGCAGGCAGCACACAGCATGGTCAGGGAGGGACTGACCCGCTCGGCCGCACCGGCGGCTCTAGCCAAACACCGTTATAATGCTGATCTGCCGCTGTGATAATGTGGTGCAGAGACACGGGCCATGCACTGAGGCACTCTGCTCTGGCTGCCTCTGTACCTCTCGCCAGCACAAATGCCACTCAAACTGGAGGCAGACCTTGGTGGCCCCGGGGTCTGTCCCCTCCCTGTTTCTCGCCAGCATCTCACCTTCACATGTCCTGCACTTGTTGAGCTCAAAGGGGAAGATGATGTCGCCCTCATTCTGGCAGAACTCGCAGATGAAGCCTTTAGCTTGGCACAGCTGGAAGGAGAAAAGGTGAGGAAAAAGCAGCTAAATGCTCCTCATCTCCCCAGCAAGCAAGGCAGGAGGTAGAGAGGAGCCGGAGAGGAGGACACGGTGCCTGGCTCTAACCGTATGGGACAGCCCTTCCCCAGCACGGAGCACAGCAAGGCAGAATCAACACGTGTCAGGGGTGGGGGAGAGCCAAAATGGGGTAAGAAACGTCCCGTATGTGCTGGGTAGGAGCTTTGTGGAGCAGGCAGGAGCAGTTAGCATTGAATCAGTTAATTTAGTAGCTGCCCTGCACGTCAAAGGCCTCCCCATCAGTTATCTTTGCAGCAAAGCCTGCTCCAAAGGGTGCTCCCGAGGGTGCGGAGCCGTGCAGGCTGCCGGCGAAGAGGCCTTACCATGCACTTCTCAACGTGCAGGCTGCCTGCCTTCAGGAGCTCCATCAAGCGAGGCACCAGGTCCCCCTTCTTCGTGGCACTGAGGTCGCTCAGCGAGTAGAGGTGCAAATCCTCCGTCAAGTGGCCAGGCACCGCATCGAAGGAGTCCAGGAGGCTACAAGGACAGAGAAACCAGAGCTCAGAGCAAAGCGACTCCACTTAAGCCCCCTCTAACCACTGCTTCTGCTTTCTCTCGCCCTCCACTCCCCTCTCCCCCCATTGCTCACTGCACAGTCTGCACAGATCCCCAGTGGAAATTGCCACGGGGCAGATCCAGGACAGCAAAACAGCTTCATCTCACAGCCCACGACTCACTCTTTAGCTAGCCGGCAGGTCTTAAACATGTTCTTCATGTGGAAAAGCTGGATTCGCAGCAGCTGGAGAGGAATGGGGGACAAGAGAATCAGTAAACAGAGCATGGTCCTTGGCCAAGCATGTCTGCTCTGTTTCCTGTGCTGGTGAAACAACTGCTGCTCCTCAGCTCCTGCTCCCCTGCTACCAAAGTGTTTACACCACGCAAGACAAAGTGAGCACAACCATCGTCATGTGCTCTAGGAGGTAAACCAAAGCCCAGCTGGACACCAGGCAGAAATTCCTTTTGAGATGCCTACGTTACTGGTCAAAGAACAAGATGTGAATGGAAACCCACAGTGCTGGGTTTTAAGCCTCAAAAACAGAAATACCCGCTTCTACCCAGCTTCCCTGGAATACAGTGTACAATTGGCAGCCACCCACCTCACCCAAACCCCACTCAGGAAGGCGTGGAAAGGGTCTTACCCACACTTGGTTGAGAGACTTCACCTTCCGGTACAGGGCAGGATTGATATCCTGCACGTTGAAGAGCGGGTCACTCCAGATCTTGCTCAGCAAGTCTTTGGAGAAGTTGCTCACATAATACTTGCTGAAGTCCCACTTGCGCAGGATGCGGCTGGGGATAATTGTCTGGGCGTTCTCGTGGCAGCACTGGCAGAAATACTTCCCCAGGTACTCACAGTACCGCAGCCGCTTGATGTAATCTGGCCAAACCCAGGCAGACAGAGAAGTCAGCCGAGGCACGGGCTCTGCACAACCACAGAGCGGACTCCCAGCGTTGCTCAGCATTTCCAACAAGCAAGGCAGTCTGCCTTGCCAGTACCTCCTCCAGCCTCAGAGTGCTCAACACTGGCATCTGCAAGCACCCCTGCCAACTGCAAAAGCCTTTGGGACCAGAGTCTGGTCCCTCCATGCAGCCACATCTACCTATGCATTCAGGACAGACGGCTGGTCACAGAGCTCTGGAGCTGTACCCACCGCAGAACTTGCTGGGAGCTTTAGGACCCCAACAGATGACTTTGCCTTAGAAGAGGCAACATCTGAAACACCCTCTGAAGGGCAGGCTGGCTGCTTTTTGCCTCCACCAGCCCCGTGACCTTCTGGGGAAGGAGACTCCTGCGCAGGTGGTGCGCACCGACGTGCAGGCAGAGCTGGCAAAGGCAGCGCACCGTCTCCGCAATGACCTTGTACTGAGCTCTGCCACCACCCACCCACTCTGCATTCTCCCACTTGTTGACTGGTTCTTCCCTGCTCTCCAGCTATGGGTCAGGGTCCTAGCACTCACCGGGATCAGTCCGGATGCCACAGCCTGCACACCGGTAATTCTGCTTGGCCACGGCCACCTTCCTCCTGCCCAGAGACAGAAGATGACTCGCCTGAGTCCAGCCCTGACAGCACCTGGCACCAGAGGACAGGCACTTGCACAGGGCTGGGTGGCAGAGGTGGCCACATGCTGTGCCACTTAGCGTGGACACAAAGCCAAGGGGAAAAGCCTTGTTGTGCCCTGGTGCACACCAAAGGCACCGACCGCAGGCACTGGCTCCATCTCACAGCACTAGCTGCCGGTGGTGACCACCATGGATTTACCAGGCTCAGGGCTGGGAAGCCCTGGCAGCCAAGCAGGAAGGAAAGGACTATCAACCTTGGTGTTGATGGAAAAAGGTTGGAAAGGGCAGGTCCCTGGAGAGCCCTCGCCCGCACGGGTCCTTACGTTGGGGCTGGGTGAACATTGAAGATGATCTGCGGTCGTGGTGGGGCCCACTCCAGGTTTCCACGCACCCGAATCCTCAGCTTGTAGATGTCGGCGTGTTCTCCGTCGTCGGGAGAGATGGGCAGAGAGTTGGGGATGGGCAAGAGCTGGGAGAGGCAGGCAAGAGGGTCAGATCCCTGCCCGGTACTGCAAAGGCAATGCACCTGGCTGCTTTGCCAGAAGCCTGCAACTGCAGTCCTCTGGAAAACTGCCAGGCACCGAGCTGCTGCTCCAGCTGAATAGGGGCTGGAGAAGGGATGTCCCTGGGGATCCGGGCACTCTGCTGTAGGAGGCTCTGGTGGCAGAGCCCCACTCGGCTGCACCCATCTCCAGAGCCCAGACAACATCCCTCCTCCAGCTCCACAAAAGGATCACCAGGACTAGCAAAGCCCCTGGGCAGTGGGCTGAAGCCGGGGGTTCAGGGAAGAGTGATCAAATGCGATCGGTGACTGGGGACTCACACCCCTACCTTTCGGGGCCCCCAGCCACTCCAATTCAGAGGCGGCCGGGAGCTGCATGCCCTCAAACTGCTTCAGCAAGCCCATGGCCACGGCCTCCGCCGAGTTGGAATTGAGGAAGGAGTGGGATCTAGACAGCAAACAGAGTGGTTAGTACCAGGTCTCACAGCTGTGCCCTCTTCACAAGCCCTGATGCTGGTCCCAGCTCAAGCTGAAAATGCTCCCTTCATCTCTAGTACCTTATTTCTGCACTGCTACACAGGCTTAGAATCGATACACGTGATGGATTTCTGTCTTTGCAGCTGCCTCCAGGCAAAGCTGGCTAATGGCACAACACCAACTCTTTATAAAGGCAAGCAAAACATATCTTACTTAACAAAACCTGTGCCCGTATGCAGGGGAAGCTGCAAAGTGAAAGCCAGTGTCTGTACGAGCCAGAAGTAACTGCCGTCCCAGTACAAACCTACCCAAGAAGCTGCCAGGCACAGACACAGTTTGTATCTCACCCAATGAGCAGAGGGGTCCCCACATCCCAAAGAGGTTTTGTTTTCAGAGCGTTAACACAGAGCTGTGCTTAAAACAGGCTGTGATTCACCTCCCCACAGCCCCCACCTCTCCACCCCAGGGCAGTACCGGGAAAGGACTGAGCACTTCATGTCTAAGCTGCTGCTGCACTGCACAGAGAGTCTGTGAGCACTGCTGGGTGCCAGCGGTTCCACCTCAGGGCCACACCACAGCCGCGAGGGTGGGAGAGAAGGTGGCAGCACCACGTAGTCCAGGAGGCCATCCCAGCTGAGAGGGGGGACGCAGGGGAGCTCAGAGCCAGCAGCCAGTCCAGATGCTCCAGGATGTGCCCGGTCCTCTCGCCAGCCTCTTACCTACTATGAGGTATGGGGATCTCTCCTGACACCAGTCCACATCCTATCTACCTCATGCTCATGTAACATGTGAATGATCCAGATCATCCCAGGTGCTGCTTCCCAAATTTAAGACTAGGACCCAGCTGGAGGGATGTCCACTCCAGTGCAAAACAGCAGCTGATGCATGTGGAAGAGCAGAATTGGGCAGGAAGGGGAACTCGGTACCAAGATGTCTCGCCATGAGTTGAAGACGTACATGGACTCTGAGGAGAGAAAGGACTTCCTGCTGGAGTCTGGGTTCCTCTTGATGTCAGCATCTGAATTACAAAGGGACAAGTTGGAGGAGATGGAACAGGGCAGGGGGATACACTCATTTCAAACCAAAGCTTCACTGTAAAACTCATCAAGCTGTTCAAAAGCACATGAACTTCTACCAGTGGCACGGAGCAGCAAGGAGAGGTGCAGCCTAATCAGTCACCTGTCAGAGTTACAGGGAAGGACATGGCGGGGTGCTGTGAAAACAGTGAGCGTGGGGCTTCGGGGAGACAAGTGGCTGTGGGTATAGGTCACACACCAAGTCCTAGCGGTGACACGACCTGAAACAGTACGCTCACAGCAGTTAGGAGGGCAGGACAGCAAGGTCAGCAAGAAGGTTTAGTAGCTCTCTACATGCAGTATAGATGCTGCAAAGGATTAGCAATGGGATGCAAGAGCCCTCTCTCTACTTGACCACAACCTGTAAGATCAGACGGTGGCCATGCCACAGCTCGTCAGCGACTGCACAGCCGGGGCTGCCAGCCTAAGCCCAGCACTCCAGAGACATGTCAGCATCCATGCAGAGAGTGGGCCGGCAGCTGCAGCGGCCAGCCCTCTGCAGAGGCCACAGACCCATCTCCCGAGGAGAGAGGGGTCCAAGACGAGGTGCAGGACACTGGGGTCCTGCTCCCTCCACCAGCTCCCCAACAGCCCTGGGCTGTCCCACATCCCTGCTTGGTGCCAGCCTTGGGTACCAGGCAGTACCCAGTGGTACCTTCATCACTCATCTCTTTCTTTCACTCCGGCAGGTTTTACCATTAAACCCCAAACAAGGAATTCATCTGAACGGCAGAAGGACCCTGGGATGGGAGGCTCTTCCAGCAGCACGAGGTGGGCAGAAGCAGGCAGAAACCCTGCTTTGTTACAGACTCCCAGAAAAAGGAAGACGGGCGTGTGAGGAGAAAGTACTACGGGTCAGGACAGAAAAGAGGCCAATGCCACAACCTTCAGCCCAGCAGGTCTCCTTTTTTACACCTCTGGGGAGCTCTAGAAATAAGGTCTGCAGCGACCACACCACCCCCAAACACAGGCTTGCAGCTGCCCCTGAGCCGGTGACCCAGAGCCTGGCTAGGGCAGGCACAGCTCGACTTCCCTGCCCCTCCACGCCGAGCAAGTCGGCTACACGGACCCGCAGAGAGCCCATCCGACCCTGGCCAGGTACCAACCACCCGCACACCGAGGCCCAGGGAGTTGCAGCCCGGCTGAGTGAAGAGAGCCTCTCCTCAGGCTGTCGGCTTTTTTTGGCTGCCCTGGCACCAAGGGGAGCAAGTCCCAGTCCCGCTCGTAAATTTACAGCATGGATGCTTGATCCTCCTTGTTTGACATCCATTGCTAGAAACAGCCACAGGAAAACATCCTAATGCTAAGGAATCTGCGCAAATGGACTTCTAGCTGCAGAAAACGGGGAATTCAGGCAAACATAGCCTCCCGACCAACACAGGGCACCAGCCAGATATACCTACCATGCTCTGGTGCCTTCGCTTCTGTGCAGGAAGGCGCCGCATGGTCCTAGACTACAACGAACACGAGCAAACCGTGGGGCACACGCAGCACAGTGTGGGTCAAGCATTATGGGGAGGCAGAGCCGGCACGCTCAGGCACTGCCCATCTCAGGGATGGCAAAGGGAGCCAAATCTGACCCTGGGCTCCCGTGGGGGCTAGCACTGGGATCCAGCCACTGCTCCCTCCCCAACCTGAGCTGGAGACACTCCCCAAAAGCCTTCCGTTAGCTGCCCAAAATGCCTCTGCTGCCTGTGCTTTCACCAGGTGGGATAGTCCCCAAACCCAAGGACATCACTCCAGCCCCCACATGCCAGCCTCAGGCCCCCGGATTAAACCCCTGGGCTGTGAACACAGAACACAGCAGGGCCGATGGGGAAGCTCTATACACCAGCAGCTCCGGCAGGAGCAACGCGCTGGTGCTGAAGGTCTGACAGGAGAGATCAGCAGCAGCCCATGTAGGCTGCTCCATTGCTAAAGCAAACAGGGAGCACACGAAGGTTATTTAAATGCGACCAGCAGACCGGAAGGATTATCTAGTAGTACTGCAAACAATAAAAACACTAAGCAAGACTTAGATGCCTGTGACCCCCGTGCCCAGGGCCTCCAGGGTGAACAAACTGCCTGTGCCCTGTCTGCTCTCACTACTCCCTCCAAGACTTCTTTTTGGAAGGATTCTTCTCGAAGTTAAGTCTGAGCAGGATGGGAAGTGTTGGCCATGGTTCAGATCAGAGCTACGGCACGCCAGCACTGCCAAGTCAAGCAGGATAACGCTCCCCAAGGCACCTGGGATGGAGATCTGGTCCCACACTGTAGAGGACACCACTCTCATCCAGCCCAGGCTCAGCCTTCAGCAGCTAGAGAGCCACAAAGCTGTGCCATCTCCCTGCCGAGCCCTATCCCAGGCCAGACAGGTCTTCACCACAGCAGGCACATTTGGTATATCCACAATACCACATGGCAATGCCCTGGGGGATGGAACCCACGGCAGAGCTCCTCTGCCTCCTCTCTGCTCCATCCTGCCATATCATCCTGTCACAGCTTTTCTTGCTGACGTCTTGATGATACTGTTCAGTTCCCAAATCAGGCAGATTTCTGAGAAGTGTGCACATGCACACACACACACACCTTGCACACACACGCACGCGTGCCACAAGGGAGCACTGCGGGGTACTACCTGAGAACAAGGAAGCCATTGACACTGAGAGGCCGCTCTTGGACATTTGAATCAGGTTAGATCCATCGTTACCATCTGTATAACATGGTGATGACAAAACAGTTGACTTCAGTGCTTTGGCCAGGCCAAAGAGAAAGGGCATAATACAAGAGCAGCACTTGCACAAGAGAAGCCCAGAAATGAATTCACACATCCCTCTATGGGCTTCAAAACTGAGCCCAAAATCTATCCCTCAGAGACTGAAACGAGGGCTTTGCTGTCAATAGTCAAGAGACAAAAAGTTTATAGCTGGAGACTGAGGTGCTCCATCTTCTTTTTAAAGTCAGTGAGATGGAGGTACTGCTGAGAAATAAGTCATCCACCCTGGAGGATGAACAAGGCTCTGAAGGAAAGGGACACACAGGGACCCAGACAGGTCTCCTGTGGGCAACAAGCTCAGAGACCCAAGCTGCCAGGAGCAGAGTCTACAGGTATTACAGGTCAGGATGTGACCAGCACCCACAACTGCCACCCAAGAGACAAGTGGGCAGAGCTATGGCTCCTTCTGCCTGGGGAGGAGGAGAGCAGGATGGCAACTCTCCCATCTCTCTGTAGCTGTGACAGCCACTCTGTGGACCAGGCAATGAAATGGAAACCACCTACTAGCCAGAGGCACTGAATGCTAGAGAGTTACAGAAGATTTTGAAGGAAAGTCATGCCACCACATGAGGGAAACTCATTGCTCTGCTCATGCTCAGAATTCAGCCATTTGTTTGGGAAAAGCCATCCTGAAGGCCAGAGGGACATGCTCTTCTTCAGCAGGACTGACCTCAACACAACCACACCAAGGAGAAGTTTCTCTCTACACAAGAAGCCAAGGCAGCCATTCCCTCCTACCTCGGATCTCATACTCTTCCACGTCCTCTGCAGAGCCAGAGTCAGAGAGCCTCATGGAGCCATGGGAGCTGAACTGGGACTCACTGTCTGTCGCCACAAGACCTGGGAGAAATGCAACACAGCCAGGCCATCAATGGAAGTGGTCTGAAGGGTCATTGACAGCTAAGGGAGAAGTTGATAGCTAGGTATGGCCAGGGCAGGGAAGGATGGAGGTCAAGGAAAACTTGGGTTTTGAAAACACAATGGGTTCAAAATGAAATTACATTCCACAACTCAGCACCAGCAGTGCACAAGTGTTATTCACGTACAGTATCAGTCCCATTATGGCCTTCAATAGCAACAGAGCTTCACAAATCTCTTTTGGCCAGGCCAAAGAGAAAGGGCATAATACAAGAGCAGCACTTGCACAAGAGAAGCCCAGAAATGAGCAGCACCTTGGTAGCGGTATGATTGTTTCCCATGAATGGGCAGGACGGCAGGATGCTATAAGGACAGGCAATGGACAGAATCCCCACATCCCACTAGTTGATGAGCCCAAAAGACATCACCCACTGTCTGAGCCCATCTCCTGGCAGGTAGGGAACAGGTGCCTAGTGCGGATCTGCTGGCGCCGAATGCGAATCTTTTGTTTAAGCTCCTGGATCTCCTTGTCGCTGTCTTCCTCCTCCTCCTCCAGCTGCCGGCTCATCATGTTGCATTTCATCAGCTCAATGGCAGCGATCAGGGACTCTGAGATGCTGAAGTGGGCATTCTCCTGCAAGGCAAGAGCAAAAGCATTCAAGGCTGTACGATGGAGAAACTAGGAAGACTTGGTAAAATCTTTTTCCCCACCTGTGACAGGGAAGAGCTTATTACTCATGGAAGGTGGTAGAAAGACCTTAACCCCTGCCAACCCCATGAAACCTGACTCTTCTACAAGGACCTAGAAACTAAAGCCTTCTTGGGCACCAGAATACTCACAAAACACAAGGGGCACCCTACGAAGAGGATATGCAACACATCCACTCCGGGGAGTCAGCACATGTCCCTGAGGAGCCCTAACAAAGGGCAAAGCTGCTGCGTGCATGCTTCATGGGCAGATGCTGGCTGTCAGACACCACTGAGGAATTCAACCTTGAAGTTCTGTGCACAGCTCTATAGCAGGAAATACTATGGGATTATCTTCCCTGCGGAGGGAAGTATCACTGAACCTGCAGTAAGATACATTCTCCAATGCACACAGGCTACTGCTGCCTCCCTCACCTTCTCCAGATCTGCACAGCTGCCAAAGTCCTGCTCAGAGAGGTAGCTGATGAGGGACTGCCCTTCTGAGGGTCTTCTGAACATCCCTTCTCCTGAGCTCAGGTACTGGCCAGAGTCTAGAAAAGCAAGAAACAAATATATGAGGGAGGGACCTGCTGCTATCCCCATGCTAACAAGCCCTGCCAGTGCCCAACCAGCATCTCACAAGCAGGGGCCAGAAGCTGAGGCCACCGCAGCCGATGGAGCCTGACCAGGAGCAAGCGTCCCCGCTGAGGCTGGCTGCACTCACCGTACTCCATGTAGAAGGAGCTGGATGTGCTCAGTTCACTGCTCTGGGTGGAAGCAGAGACTGGCCCTCTCCCTCCGCCTGGATCACCATGGGACTCTGGAAGGGAAGACGACACCAGGCACACATCAGCATCCCAGAGGCACCCAGCCATTGCACAGGGTGAAATGAAAGGGGCTGAGCATCACACAGGCCGGCACAAATGGATGGGAAGCAAGGAGGGACATCTTCCTGCTCTGTGACACGGCCAAGGGCAAGCCCAAGAGGGAACAAAACTAGAAGGGCATTTCAGGCAGGAGAGAAGAGGGGGAAAAAGGAGAGAAGCTCATGAGAGCCATGAAGCAGTTGAGTCCTGAGCCTTCCTCTCTTTACCCCCTAGCACAGCTGGGAGACCTAACAGCCTCCATCAAGCACCTCTGCCAGCCCCGTCTTCCTGCTGGAGCATCTCCAAGGGAAAAGTTATCCTCCAGGGCAGAGAGGCAGGAGACAAGGGGAAACCTGAGCAGCTGAGGGATCTGTGGTGCTCCCAGCCCTGCAAAGCAGCCTGGACAACAGTGGAAGCAGGCATCTGAAGGACATGCTCTTGTTCAATTAGAAGCCAAGGTTCCCTGCACACAAACCCGGAGCCTGGGCTGCAGTGCTCAAGGTGACCTACACAGGCTGTGGGCAGGGCTCTGCCCCATGCACGCACCGTGGTGCAAGTCCCTGCCAGGCTGAGCTGGCGGATACTGCCAGGAGCTGCCCTGACCGGAGATCAACAACGGCTGGTGCTCTACGGAAAGCCACGGCCCCAGGGAGCACCCAGATGGAGCAGCTGGGTGACTGGAGGACTGATGAAGGAGACTGAAAATATCCCGACTGGAGCAGGACAGGAGCACACAGGTGTGGACACAGGGCAGGTGCCAGCTGACATCCCGACATCCCAAGAACAGGAGGGGAACCCCATCCTCTGCACCTCCTACTCCTCTCTGCTCCTGGCTTCATGCCATAACCCTGATGTTGCTGGAGGCTCCCAAGCCCACCAACACCAGCATCTCCCTGAAAAGACCACAGAGCAGTAGCCACCAGGATGGGGCTTGGGACCACGCCGCCCCACAGGCTGGGTAACAAAGGAGACCTGTTGGGGTGGGAGGCTCTCACAGCTAACCGCTGCAGCACGGAACAGGGTATCCTGCAGCCACCTCAACCCTGCTGAAAACCAGCACAAAAACCACCTTGTGATCACCAGCCTAGGGTTTGCCACATAACAACAGAGCCTACTGATGAAGGGTAAAGCATCCTCTGCTGGAGCAGGACAAAGGGCTGGACACATCTGTCTGAACATCCACCACCTCCAGGAAGGAGCCTTCCCAGCTACAGAACCCTCAGCACCCAGATGTAAGCTCGACAAACCCAGTGCCGGTTCAACAGATGCAAAAGAAAACAGCCTATTTTTTTTGAGCTGCTGACTCTTTCTGCATGTGAGGCAAAGGGATGGCAGCACCCCAGCACCTCTGCTGGGAGGAAACCTGCCCCGAGCCCAGAAGAGCACCTGGGAGTCCTGGCTGTGGGTGCAAGCACAGCTGGCTGGGACGCGGCTGAACTCAGTCAACATCAAACCTCCCCATCCACTAAATGAAAGGAAAAATAAGACGTTCAAGGCCACACCTTAGCTGCCAGCCCTTATTCACTAAGTGAGAGATGAAACCTCTCCTGGCTCCTGAGGCAGTGGGGTGGAGGGAAAGGCAGGGGATGCAGCTCAGGGACTCGGTGGCCAGCACTCCCTAATGTCATGCAGGGGAGCCAGGCGCCCTTCTGGGTCTAGTCCACTGCTCCCAAAAAACAAGCTGGGATCTTCAGTCAAGTTGCATGCATAAACCAGACCACCCTTCAAAGCACCAGCTGGGACACAGGAAAGAAATAATTTTTTTTGTGTTCTAAATGGACACTAATGGATTGATGGAAATCCTGAACTTGATGCAATGATCACTAATGAAGGGCTGTTACACTGGCTCCCAAACCTGCCACTGGATCTTCTATTATAATGGTGATATCCCTGAGGCCTCCTGGGCAGACAGAGGAGGAGGGCAGCATTAAGGGAGAGAAAACAGAGACAGATTGGTTACTATTCAAAGACCTCCACTTCTCCCATGAAGGCAGCACTGGTGGGGCATACTCCCACAAACTGGTTGTCCCCTCACATCCTGCTCCTCCCCACCATGCATTCACCCATTCAAGAGCACAGGAGGATCCAGCAGGTTACCAGTAGGATGACATCCTACCAGTAGGATGAGCCCAAGCCCCAGCCCAGTTGCCCTGTCATGGCCCCACGCCCCAGCTGGGCAAGGCCAGTGGGGAAGCAGGGCAGCTAATGCCACAGCATTGCTGCCATTTTCTAAGTTTTTGGTAAAAGCTGCCAATACCAATAACAGACCAGCCCAGGACACTCTGGGAAGCAAGATGTCAGCCCATCACTCCAGTGTGGAGCAGGAAAGCTAGGGGCAAGGACCAAATTTCCCAACCACTTGTCCACCGTCCCCCTCCCCAACCTGATCCATGGAGTCAAAGGAGTGGCCAGCATCAGCCTCCCGGTACCAGGGACTCCCCAAAGCCATCCCAGAAAAGCTGCCCCATTACCGTGCAACTTCCCCGAAGCCACATTGGTATCGGAGTGCGAGCGCACGTGGCTCTTCTTGAGGATGCCCTGTGGAGCTGCTGACTGTCCCTCTGAGAAGCTGGACCGGCGCAACACGCTCAGGCCCCTGCTTCCAACTCCACTTGCCCCCTGCTCCCCCAGGGATGGGACCGAGTCCAGCTTCTGGGAGCTGCTGGAGGAGAAGAGTTTGGAGCTACTGCTCTTGGTGCTGTTGGTGCTGGCGCTGCTGCATGCCCGGCCCCGGCGCCCCAAGTTCCCGATGGCCAGGTACTCCGGCCCATCGTTCACATCGCTCTGCGGATCATCCTGACTCCCCGTCCAAGTGTCCTCGCTCTGGCTGGTGGTGCTGGAGCTCATCTCGCTGGCTGGAGAGAAGGGGTCTTTGGGTGAGGGGTTGTGGAATCGGGTGACAGAGCCGGGCTGCTCCAGAGGTGACCTGCTGTCGCTGAAAGAGGATGACCGGGTGGACGGGCAGTGCTCCTGGGGCTGGCTGGCACTGGAGCTGGTGGAAGAGCTCGCTGGTCTCCTGTCTGGGCAGAGGCAGGAGCAGGATGTCACACACGCTGGTACAAGCAGTCCACCCTATGGCAATAAACTTGTGGCTTCACACCGGCATGCCCACCCACTGTGGGCAAAGGCCAGGGATGTCCCTCCCACTGTGGGCAGAGATCTTCTCGCACCCATCTACCACAAGGAATCCAAAAGCAGAAAAAAAAAGGCAAAGACTTTTCTGGGTCTATTCTGAGCTTCCCAGTCCACCTTTGTTACCTGAGAAGCCACAGGAGGCTGGATGGTGGAGGCTGGAGAAGGACCCAAAGCAGCGCTGCTGCGTGCAGCCTGCAGCAGGGACATACGGGGACGCGGGGAGGGCAGTCAGGCTCTGACTCTTGGTCACCGGAGGCAGACCGTCACTCCTCTGGGTAAGCTGAAGAGAGGTGGCTTCATGAATATATCAGCATTTATGGGGCTACACGTCAAAGGAGCAGCAACGGAAAGGAATCGACCTGGGAGCGCCTGGTCACCAGCCAGTAAAGGATGCTGCAGCCCTGGGGGCAGGAGGATGGGGAGGGAAAAACGCGGCAGCACAGAAGGGAAGCGGCTCTTTGTTGGCAGCTACACAGCAGGTTCCCGTTGGGAAATTACCAGGCTCTCAGTGAAATGATCCAGGCAGCCCAGCGCACCAGGCAGACGGCTCTTGTGTCCTTCAGCATCATGGTCACACGCCTCTCTTGTCCCAGCAGAAGGACCTGACGCGCACAGGGATGGCAGTGACGTGCCGGCCAGCTGAAAGAACACAGTCCCCATTTAACGAAGCCTCATTAATTGCCTTCCTCTGGGAACCTCTGTGCAAAGAAAGCAGACGCTGTTCCCCTCCTCTGGGGAGGAGTCCACTGCCGCGGGGCTGCATGGGAGGGTCACTGGCATCACCAGCAGGATTGGGCACCCCGGTGTCCTAGGGTACTGCCCATCTCCTCTGGGGGTGGCTGTCCCTCATGACTGGGCAGCTCTGCTTGCAAGCCCCAAAGCCTGGGACTGCTGGAGACAGCTTTAGAGGTATCTCTTAGATGGAACCAGTCCTCAGGTCCTCATACTCAAATCCTTGATGCCAGTCAGAACCAAGGTGCCTCACCAGAGGCTCCACACAGCCATCCCCCCCACCCCAGCCCCTGCCAGGCTCACGCAGGCAGCGCAGGGACCAGTTGACTGCTCTCCTTCCCTCTTGGAGAGCCTTTTGCTACTGCCAAGTCCACCCCCTTGTCCAAGGGCTCCATGTGCCCTGAATGAGACCTCGCACGAGCAGCTGCAGCCAGCCAGCATCTAGAGAAAGCAAGATGGAAAAGCCAGGACCTCAACTCACCATGGAGGTGTCGATCTGAGCCAGAAGCCTGGGGTTGTTCTGCTCGACAGCCTCCAGGCACTGCAGCATGGCCGTGACGTGGGCGTCACTGAGCAGGAAGGCAGTGTCTGAGGAGAGAAAACTGCTGCTCGGGGGGTCCCTCTCACCGGCGTGGTTTGACAGCGCCGGTTGCTCACATGCAAACCACCCTTTCTGCCGCACCCCCCGCTCCCCGCCATGGCTTGGAAATGCCACCAGCTAGATATTTTCGTAGGAAGAAGGAAAAGGCCCGTTTCTCTTTACCGGCGTAGAATTTCCTGATGTACTGCCGGTTCCCCAGGAGCGGTCTCAGCTGTGCCGACAGGCAGTGGCACTGCAGGCTGTGCTGCAGCCACAGCTGCGCGATGGCCTGGTCCCCCGGGCCCTCTGGGTCGCGCCGGCCGCTCTCCTGCAGGCTGATGAACTGGAAAGAGACGCCAGGTCCGGGTTACGGCAAGTGGGGGAGCAGGGGTTGTTCCACCACATGGTTTTGGTTTCCCCCCAGTAATGGCAACTTTCCAGCACCAGTCACCGTCGGCAGGAAGGAGGATACATCCCAGCAGCTCCCCAGCCACCAGGGAGGCAAAAGCACTGGGGAGGAACAACACTTCAAAGGTCAGCCAGTGACCAAAGTCCTCCGACAGCCACCAGCAGTATGAATTTCTCCTGCACACTCTCCCACCTGTGTGCCTTGGCCCTGACCTGGAGGGACCCGACACTCCCACATCCAACCTGACCCCGACGGCGACGGTCACGTTCTTGCCAACACGTTAACTGGGGAAGCTGAATACCTGAGCTGCGGCAGCTTGAAGAGCTGGACTGGAATCACACCGCATGACCCTCCAGCAGTGGGCTGGCCATAGGGACCACCAGTGGTCAGCCGCTTGCGCTCGGCCATGTTGGGGGCCACGGGTGTTGGCACAGGGCAGCTGAGTGCCAAGAGCATCCCCATGCACCAGCGGTCAGCACACGCCAGGAACAGGAGAACCAAATGCATGGTTCAAGACACAACCCATAAATGGGACAGGCCAGACCTTTAGAGGTTTGCACAGACGCGTGAATCACCCCTGCACGCACACAAGTGCCACTTGTGCCGGTTCCCTTGGTGATGCCCGCTGCCCCCAGCCGAGCCGAGCTGGAGACTGGCCTGGGAGAAATAAGCAGCCGATTGTCTCAGCCCAAGCCATGCCGAGTTCCTGGGATGAGGCTTGTACACAAACACACGACTGCTTCAGCCTCCACAAGCCGTGGAGCCGCTTTACCCACGGCAGGCCAACGGCCAAGGTGCCGCTATCCCACCAGTGAGGCTCACGGCCCAGCTGCCCTCTCCCCTCCCTGCTGGGCACACAAGGCCACCCCACCAGAACCCACCTTCTCCAGGTGATGAGCAGAGCTGGGACTCAGCCAGCGAATGTCCTTCACGAACTGCCAGTAATCCTTCTGTCTGCAGCACACCTGCCCGAGACAGGCACCGTTAGATACCACCACCCAAGTCCCAGTTAAATGACAACATCCCCCGTTAGCCCCACGCTACCATGAGATGACAGACCCTAAACCTGCCAAGATGGGCCAGAAAATAGAGGAAGAACAGCACTGCTTTACAGAGGAGAGATCAAGTGAAAAAGCACTGGCTTGATGTAGATAAGTTGTCTACTGCCCCTCCCACAGTGAACTCTTGGTTGTGGTCAGCCCACAAGAGACCAGGCAACAGATCTCCTGAGCTTCTTCCCACTGGGTAAGATCCCAGTCCCTCATACTGTGGAGACAGGAGAGGTCTTGGGACAGGGACAGGACATGGTGCCGAAGGGCTCAGATCCCTGCTGCAGTGCAATAATGATCCTAAAGGCCAACCACGGGTCTGCCAAGTTCAAGGTTGACCGAGTTCCCACATCACTGTTCCCCTTCCTGCCAAAACAGGACCTGGAGGAGAGTCCTGATACCTCAGCACTGCAGAGTCAGACCTCAGTGAGAGAACACGAAGGGCAACATGGAAACACATCCCAGCAAAACCAGCAACCATCACTGTCTTCTGATGCAAGCCACCACCGAGGACACCAGCACAGCTGAGCACCCCAGGTAAGAAATTCGGCGTTGCATTTCTATCAACTCTTTGTTGCTGTTTGCCTCAGCTTTGTTCAGACAACGAGTTGTTTTGTTCTTAGTTATTCTGCCCATTAAAGAGGAACTGCAGCAAAGTTGCTGTTTTTCTCACAACCCTATTGGGTGTAAACACAGCCCCAAAAATTCTCTCTTCACCAAAAGGCTGATTATTTTTTCTGCCATCTCTATTTCCTCTTTCACAAGCATCAGAGGAATGGGTTCTGTTTTGTGGTTTATTTAGTTGGGGGTGGGGGGTTAAGACTAGAGAACTAACATAGCAATTTTAGTCTTCTAGACTGAATTGAGGTTTTCTGGGCAAATAAATAAAATTCACTCAAAAGTTTAAAAACCTCTTACCCTAGTTCCCTTAACATGTATATATAGATTTTTTTCACATTTTTATTTATTGATACCCAGTTGTAGGAAGAAAGCTGATGAGAAAATATAAGCAAAAGGAAATGTTTCACTGGAGCAACTATGAGAAAACCACTGTTAGGAAGCTGTATTTTTATGGGCCTCCCTTTCTAGCTCTTATAGATTGGTGTCACACGTGTCCAAGCACGGGAGACGTTTCTAAGTAAAAGAGCTGCCTTTGTCTGTAGTAAAAGCAGCGAGGAAGGCAACACACCGTCCTGCTTTGCAGGTCTGGCATGAACTGTTACCAATAGGCAGACAAGTGTAAATCGTTTCAATCTCACTTCCTGAAGCCTATGAATAGCACGCCTCTCCGCGGGGAGCACTGCACTCCTCACATGTAAAAGGTAGCTTCTCTCTCTGCGGATCTCCCAAAGAAGACCCCTGGTCCATGTCACGGGGGACTAACGGGAGCAGAGCAGCACCATAACGAGTGCTGACTGCAAGCTTAATAAATCCAGGGAGTAAAGCTGGGACGACCTGCCAGCCTGGCTCTTCCTGGGGACCTATCAGCTCGGGTGCAGCATCGCATAGGTGCAGTTTTCCTGCTCCTGGACCCAGCTGGCCCATGCAAGCTGCCTGGGGCTCCTCTGCATCGCTCGCTTCCGCGCATGGCTCGATGAGAAGCCTGTCCCCAGGCATGCCCTGCAGACTTGCTCCAACTTTCCATTGTAAATTAATTGTGGTGGTAATTGCAAGCTGAAAGGGAGATCTTCATGCCTGTGCACACAAGTGGAAAGGAGGAATCTTCCAGGCAGCCATGGAAGGAGGAACATCTGGGTGAGCAACTGCCAGGCATGACAAGAGCCTGGAAAGAGAGATCCCATTCACGCAGAGTGCGGATTTGGCTGCCAGCTCCTTTTATTAACACAACTAACCAGAAACGGTAAAGATGCGAGGTTTCTCTTGCGAGACCTTGCTGTGGAGTTGTCCAAGTGCACATGATACCAGGCTGACTCATTGCAAATGCAGCTTTATTGCTTGGCTGCAGCAGAAAGAACGGAGAGAGGGGCTGGCCTCAGCATGGGGGGCTCGGGTTCTTAGAACAACCATGTCAAGGTGGATGAGAGAGTAAAAACACGCACCCAGGTCCTTCCGACAACCACAGCACTTGCCAGGCAGGCTCAGTCCCTGCTTCGATCATTTCCCACACTGCTACAGGTGTTGCACCCACGCCATGCTACAAGCACTGAAGCAAGCTGCAGGCAGACAGGACTGTCCCACCTGCTCATGACAGGCACCAAAGCTGCTACAGACAGACAGCAGTGCTGGCAGGACAGATCCCTACCTTGTCGTGGATGAGCCCATGGTAGAGGATGCTGTGCATGTCTCTGCAGAGCCGTTCTAAACCGCCATACTTGGACCAGACGTTTGGGTTGCTGGTGGACACCAAGCCTTCCACTGTGGTCTTCAGGTTGCCTAGCAGCTTCCAATGCTCCTTCCTGCAAAAGAACACAGCAGGTTGTATCCGATGTACAGTAAGAGGAGTTTCACAACAGGACCATGGTACTGTACTCTCTCCAAGGAGACTCTGATAAGGTTGAAACCTTCGGTGGTCCGGAAGCTAGCAAAGGTGAGCTAAAGGACTTTACACCTACCTATGGTCTCCCGTGCATGGTTTGTGGACAAGAGGCCCTATCGTAATGATGCTTGTCATGACTGGTAGCCACCACCAATGTGGTCTCAGGAGACAGCCAGAACAAAGACTTTTGGCTCCCGCAATATAACACTTGCTTAGTATGGGCCAACAAAGCTGGAGGACGTTTTCCCAGCCAGCCTCTTGCTTGCTTCACTCAGATGCTCTGTCAGAGACTGTTGAAAGCAGCAGCCCATCAGGAGTACAGCAGTTGTAAGGCAACGGCACAATGTCCACCACATCTAACAGACAGTGGCCGCGCTGCACCCGCATTAACAGAGAGCAGCACTCCCCGCGCAACGCGCACCGCACACCCCAGCACCATCAGGACGCAGAGATGCTCCATGCCACAAGTTCAGTCACCCTTCATCTGCATCTCCACCTGGACAGCTGCTCTCTGGCCCCAGAGCTGCTGTAGGCGCGAGCTGACTTTCATATAAAACGGGAGCGACAGTGCGACAGAGGTAACGTCATTTGCCTATGCAAAAGCAACTTTGGGGAAGGAAGCTTTGGATGACTGAGGTCCCCGCTCAAGCTGCTTGACAGTGCTGCCAGAGGAACAGCAGCTGTCAGAAACATGTATTCAGATAGGAGCCACTCTCTCAGAAGCAACAGGAATGTTGGAAGGTATATTTGGGGGTGTAAATGCCAAAAAAATTGCCTCTGCAGGGTTTGTAACAAAAGCACTGGGGGTGACAGCTTAGAATGAAAGTCCAACGTTTCAACAGCAAGAAACAAGCCAGTGCTTCAGCTGTTAGTCCCTCTCACTGCCCAAAACAAATTTGATTTCCAAAGTAAAAGGAAAAAAGAAAAGAAAAAATTTAAAATAAAAACATTATTTAAAACTGTTCTCATTTGCATCCCTTGCTGCACAGAGGACACTAAAAAGTAACATAATCCTCATATTTAAAAACAAGCTTTTCTCCCCGATATTCTCTTTTTTGAGACTTGTTTGCTATTGCCAAACTGATTAAGTGAACAAGCAGATCATCAAATATTGGTTCTACTTCAAGCTGCCCATCCACTGCCTTCACGCATCTCCCCAGGGAAACTTCACCACTCCCAGTGCACACCTAAGCTTAAACCACACAGAAGCCAACCCATTCCACCAGCAAAGCCTGTCACCCTGACAGCACAGGAGCTGTAGAACAGAGCTGCAATGCATAAAGAAGTATCCATATGTTTTTGATGTACTTAGACTAACAAGCACGGTCAGGACTTTATCTCAGGAGAGACTGAAGAAGAAAGCACGGGTATAAATCAAAAGCAGCTTCCTGAAGATCTGACTTGGGCAGACACAATCCAGTCGTTCTCCTGAATTTATGGGCTTTTCCCATCCCTGCCCTGAGGGATGCAGATGCTCTTTGACCAGGGAGTGGCATTGCCATTGACCACATCCCTGGTCAAAGAGCATCTGCAGCCACTGAGCTCAAAAGTTCACCAGCTCCTCCCCAAGATATTTCTAATGCTCAGAGTTGGGAAATGCAAGTGAAAGCTCAGCCACGCTGCTCATCTTCCAAGTCAGTGAGTCAGGGAAACTCCCTCCCGTGTTACTTCATGCTATAAAAAGCAGGCAATGCACACAAGGATGCGGGGTAGGACACGCAGAGCCGTGTCTTACCAAATGACCTGTCTCATTAAAAGAGGAGTTGTACATCTCCCCAGAGGCAGGAGACCAGGATCCAACAGTCCGGAGTCACAGCTCCCTCCTGGCACAGGGAGATTAAGGTTAAGCAATCCTCAAAGAAAATAACCTCAAAATGTTAAAACATGGAACTCAGAAGCACATAGGGAACAAGCAGCGCAATGAAAGCACCTTTGCAGAGGCGATTCAGAAACTACCACAAGTGAATTAAATCCCTGTAAGACAATAAGGATCCCATGGGACTTGTTGGCCCAAAGCAGTTCACAAGTTGGATGCACAAGACCCTACTGATACCCAAAACCCAGCTGTTTCTGGGCTGGAACATGGTGCATGCTGAAAAGCATACAGAGACACAAGGCTGAAGAAACTAAGACACATATGGTTGGCTGCAGGTGACAGGGACATTGAGAGACAGCGCAGCTAACTGCATTTCAGCTTTGACCGGACTCGTGGGTTAGCCCTGACTTAGCGGCAGGGTTTGCTCCCCTCCCACTGACAGAGCCCGAGCCTGGGCTGCCAGAAGGGATGGCAAGAGCCCGAGTCCCACCTGCGCTCAAGCTCCCCGTTTCAGCAGATGTTCGGAGCAATATTAAGAAATCTGCTTTTGTCCTGAATAAAGAGAATTCTCCTTTGCTTGTTCTAAAGAAAGCCTGAGACAGGCTAAGGCCATTTCATACCACAGCATGAAACACCCCAACTTACAGGAAGGGCAAAGTGAGCAACACACCCCAGAGAGCTCACAGTACATGAGCACAGTACACTTCTCCTGCAAGAACCGCACGTGCTTCTGCTCTCCTGCTCTAGCAGAGCCTGGTTCCGCCGCCAGAAGGGCTGCGGCTGTTTGCAGGGCCCACCGCTGATGGAGTGCCAGTGAGACCTCAGCCGCAGCCCTCTCCTTCCTTAAAGGCGACATCTGATCCAGCCTCCAATTTTTAACCACCAGCTCCATAAAGTCAGCACTGGGTCTCCTTGCTTTACCACCACAAACTCTACCTTCAGGTACAGCAACATCAACCGGCCGTCAGGAACTGTACCAAAGGCAACTGAAGCTTTCGCGCTGGCGTGATAAAAGACAGAATCTGGCCTTAGAGCAAGAAATGGCTTAATGCCACTGATGATGACAACGACAGGGAAATGCTGCTTGCTCCCAAGGCTTTCTCAGCCCCTCCATGGAATTTCTCTTGGTCCAAGTCAGCAAAGGTGACTCACAGCAGAGGCAGGGAGCCACGCTGCTGACTCAGGTGAACTTCTTCATTTAAAATAAAACCAATCCCTAGTTACTTT